GCCAATAGAATTTTTTTCTTGGTCAGGCGGGGGCAGGACTAAGACCCTACATGTACGGACGATTGGGGGGGCGGGGATAGTAACTAAAGTCACTAAACGTGAGCATTAGACTTGTAGGGTACCTTGAGTTTCGTGAAACTTTGGAGACGTGAGCGTTAAACTAAATGCGATATAACCAAGTAAACGGCTGACAGTATATTACAGGTTGCTGGTTGTGCCGTTGTTTGGGGGGATAGTATAGCCAGCCGAGAAAGTAAAAATGTCGATGCACTTGTACCAAATGAGCAGCAAACTGCTCGGTGACACTGTCGGTACAATCAACGACAACCTGACCTCGACAGTGTTGGCAGCTACTGTCGTCACTCTCACCCTGGGATACATTTCTAAAATGCTGCTCAAACAGCCCTCTGACAAGGATCTGGTAAGTTTAACATCAAAATGCTGAAACGCATTGTTTGTACTCATTATTCACTGTTTACCTTCTTTTTTTCAGAAATATCCACCATACATTCCCTCCAGAATCCCCTTCCTGGGCCATGCCATTGCATTTGGGAGAAGTCCCATTGAATTTCTTGAAAATGCTTATGAGAAAGTGAGTATTACAGTATAACTGATTTGTCTGCAGCTACTGTATATTGATCAGAAATCAATCGTTGTCATCAAAAAATGCCGGACTTCTCTGTTCCAGCTCTTCAAATGCAAACACCAGTTGATTTTCTTAGTCTTCTGTGATACTAAAATAAATATCTATATGTTTTTTTAGTCCTTGGGATTTTTTTTTTACAATATATAAGAGCTGCAATAATTAGTTGATAGAAAATTAATCACCAGCGTTTTTGATAATCAATTACTGTAGTCATATTTCAAGCAAAAATAACCCCCCTGCACGTGATGACTTTCTTTGCCATATATACTGGATTTTGGAAATGTAGTCAAATAAAAAAAAAGGCATTTTGAAAACATTATTGTTGGGTTTGGAAAATTATAGCAAGCATCTTTACAACTCTGACATTTCCTAAGAAAAATGATTGAGAACACTATCTGCAGATTAATCGATAATGAAAAATGCTACTTAGGAAAATCCTGGTCCATTAGTTTGAGCCAGCGTTACAGTTTGCATTTATGGAAAGATGCAGCCATTTGGATGAATTTCTTAAAAAATGTTGTCTCAGTCTCATTTTCCCTCTCACACAAACAGTGAATTTTCATTGTAACTGCATCAAGTTGCATTATTCGTTGCACCAACCACTGAAGAAATAAGCAGAATGAGTAACAAGAATGGAAAGATACAAATACAGCGGATCTTAACCGTGGGAAACTAGAATGCCAAACACTCAACAGTGGAAGGGACACAATCAATAAATCAAATGAAAAGTAATAATTAAAAATGAACAGTAATAATTAAAAATGAAAAGGAAATAACTAAGGAGAGCAATCAATAAAATGAAAATAAACTAAGGTGAGCAATCAATAATTTGTGGTAATAATGGTAAATTAATAAGCAAAATAATCAATAAAAAATGAAAAGGAAATAACTGAGGTGAGCAATAGAAAATAAATGAAAAGGAAATAACTAAGGTGAGCAATCAATAAAAAAATGAAGAGGAAAGAGCACGTCAAGATAATTGAGGCAGAGACTATAGAGTACTTTCAGAGATGGGGGGACAGCGGGGAGAGAAGTATGTCCATTTACACATCACTTTGTTTAAAACATCAATCATAGAAAATTAACAAATGACTTGTGATCAGACCTTTTCCACCTAGTTTTGGTTACTTTGACCAGATGCTTTGCAGAGTATTAACAGTAATAAAAGCACTGCTGTTCCCCTCATGTTATGATGTTGATGGGCAGCCTTATATTAAGTCTAAAAATGCATGATCCGTCCATTAGTGTCTGGTTTTGGTACTAACAGTTTTGTTATAGTTTCTTAACAACTGGTATAAAAACATGCATATGAAAAGTCAGGTATATGAAGATGTACAACTGTCAGTCAGGTGGTTTTTGCTGAACTCAAGTTTTTGTTCTCGTCTGTGTCAGACCTGTTCGAAGCTCTGTCTGAGCTGATCATCCTGACAGCCAGCAGCTGCCTTCATGGGAAGGAGATCCGCAGCATACTGAACGAGCAAGTGGCCCAGCTGTACACCGACCTGGATGTAGGATTCAGCTACGCCGCCTGGCTCCTGCCCAGCTGGCTGCCCCTGCCCAGCTTCAGGTAGGACAAGGAGCTTAAGATAAACACGTGTGCAACAGGAAGACACTGGATTTTCTTTGATAAGAAAGAAAGAAATCTCTGAAAAGAAACTAGAGCGGTAAAATATTTCATGATCAGAGAAGTAAAAAACTAGAGCGGTAAAATATTTCATGATCAGTGAAGTAAAAAACAGTATTGTGGGTGATGTTGAAATGACTGTAGAAATGCTGTAAAAATAATTTACTTCTTCCTTTGGTTAGGAAAAGGGACAAAGCTCACAGAGAGATCAAGAACATCTTCTTCAAGGCGATTCAGAAGCGCAGGAGCTCTGGAGAGAAAGTGGACGACATGCTGCAGACCCTCATTGATACCACATACAAGTAAGACAACTTCTGCCATTCAAGAAGTCACCCTGGTTCACTGATCACATATAAAATACAGTATTTATTGCATGCTGTGGTGACAGTGGTTGCTAAGATTGCTGTCAGAGAACCAACCAATAAGTCCGAACCCTTTACTAAACCATTTCTAAACTCCAAAGTGACTCTGTTCTCTCTCCAGGGATGGACGGGCCCTGGATGACAACGAGATTGTGGGGCTGCTGATTGGTCTCCTTCTGGCAGGCCAGCACACGTCCTCCACCACCAGCGCCTGGATGGGCTTCTTCCTGGCCAAAGACAAAGCTCTGCAGGAGCGCTGCTACGCTGAGCAGAGGGCTGTGTGCGGAGAAGACCTGCCTCCGCTCGACCTTGATCAGGTCTGAATACACAGTTTACCAGAGTGCAATGTGGATGTGCTGAAAAAAATGTAATATAAGCATAATAATCACTTTATAAAAAGTATATAGGGTGAACTGGGGTCAAGGGCCTATTTTATGATGCCCTTATAGTTACCATAGTTATCATATCATAGTTACCCAGTACATAAAGTTAAAAGAGAGACAACCCATTATAAACAGTCCTAACATTTCCCTGCTGGTGTCTCTAGCTGAATGATCTCACTTTACTGGAGTGTTGTGTAAAGGAGACGCTGCGTCTCCACCCACCCATCATGACCATGATGAGGATGGCTCGCTCTCCTCAGGTAAGAACGCCTGGCTTAGGGTACATAGTACATATTCCCCTCATTTATTCTAGTTACAAGACCTGCATCATGAACAGCTGTATTCTAGAAGTAGCTCGCCTCTAGTCTCCAACATCTGGACATCTGTGGTGCAGGTCACTAAAGTCAACTGTTGCTGTACATTTCCCTTCTCAGACTGCAGCAGGATACACCATCCCTGTGGGCCACCAGGTGTGCGTTTCACCAACTGTCAACCACCGTCTGCATGACACCTGGGTGGAGAGGATGAAGTTTAACCCCGACCGCTACACCGATGACAGCCCTGCTGCAGGGGAGAAGTTTTCCTATATACCGTTTGGAGCAGGTAAGAAGAGTAACTTCTAAACTGAATGAAAAATTACAAGAAGTCACCCTGGTTCACTGATCACATATAAAATACAGTATTTATTGCATGCTGTAGTGACAGTGGTTGCTAAGATTGCTGTCAGAGAACCAACCAATAAGTCCGAACCCTTTACTAAACCATTTCTAAACTCCAAAGTGACTCTGTTCTCTCTCCAGGGATGGACGGGCCCTGGATGACAACGAGATTGTGGGGCTGCTGATTGGTCTCCTTCTGGCAGGCCAGCACACGTCCTCCACCACCAGCGCCTGGATGGGCTTCTTCCTGGCCAAAGACAAAGCTCTGCAGGAGCGCTGCTACGCTGAGCAGAGGGCTGTGTGCGGAGAAGACCTGCCTCCGCTCGACCTTGATCAGGTCTGAATACACAGTTTACCAGAGTGCAATGTGGATGTGCTGAAAAAAATGTAATATAAGCATAATAATCACTTTATAAAAAGTATATAGGGTGAACTGGGGTCAAGGGCCTATTTTATGATGCCCTTATAGTTACCATAGTTATCATATCATAGTTACCCAGTACATAAAGTTAAAAGAGAGACAACCCATTATAAACAGTCCTAACATTTCCCTGCTGGTGTCTCTAGCTGAAGGATCTCACTTTACTGGAGCGTTGTGTAAAGGAGACGCTGCGTCTCCACCCACCCATCATGACCATGATGAGGATGGCTCGCTCTCCTCAGGTAAGAACGCCTGGCTTAGGGTACATAGTACATATTCCCCACATTTATTCTAGTTACAAGACCTGCATCATGAACAGCTGTATTCTAGAAGTAGCTCGCCTCTAGTCTCCAACATCTGGACATCTGTGGTGCAGGTCACTAAAGTCAACTGTTGCTGTACATTTCCCTTCTCAGACTGCAGCAGGATACACCATCCCTGTGGGCCACCAGGTGTGCGTTTCACCAACTGTCAACCACCGTCTGCATGACACCTGGGTGGAGAGGATGAAGTTTAACCCCGACCGCTACACCGATGACAGCCCTGCTGCAGGGGAGAAGTTTTCCTATATACCGTTTGGAGCAGGTAAGAAGAGTAACTTCTAAACTGAATGAAAAATTATTTCCCTTCTAGGCAAAAAAAAAAAAAAGGTTTTCTTATCTTTAACATAATTACTTCCAGTCATGTTACTCTTTTGTCCTTGTTTCAGGTCGTCATCGCTGCATCGGGGAGAACTTTGCTTATGTTCAGATCAAAACCATTTGGTCTACTTTACTACGCATGTATGACTTCGACCTGGTGGATGGATATTTTCCCACAGTCAACTACACCACAATGATCCACACCCCTCACAACCCCGTCATCAGATACAAGAGGAGAAAGCAGGGAGAGGCTAAAGGACGACAGTGAAGAGCAAGGAGCAAAAAGATGAGGACACAGTGAATCTGTAACTTCCTGGGATTCAGATTTAGGAAAAGTTCAGTGAATGCACTTTGCTCTAATGGTCACAGTTATTTTGGCTGACTGGACCTGTACTCAGGCTGATGGTGTTATCTGAAGTCCTCAGCATATCAAAAGAAGGTGTAAAATGTTGCATCCCGACAGGTGTAAGAGTAGAGTGAGTCTGGATAAGTCCATCAAAGCATCAGAAAAGATGTAGACACCTGTGGGTGTAACGTGGGTGTACAGACCCTTTAGACTTTGAATAAACTACAGTACATTTGCCTCATTAACAAGAACAATCAAACCTTTTGTGTGAACTGTCACTGCACACATTGGTGTTCAAAGAGCTGAAGGAAATGAACACTAGTTACAATGCTACTAGTGCTTCATGCGAAAGAAACGAGTCCATCAACAGTATTTTTTGATTTGTGCTGTTTTCCCATCGCTTTTTGTATATTTTCTCTTTTTGTTTGACATGAAAATGGATTGTTTTTGTTATACCTGAGCCAAATCCAAGAAACTTGGGAGCGCAGAATTAATATCTCTTTAAAATACTTGTGGCTGGGGACGAGCGGACTCCCAGCTGTTAAAGAAAAGAACAGGATGGAGAAATTAACCTTTTTCTTACAACCACAATATGAACATTATGTAAAATACCTGAAAAATGGATCCAATAAAAATACATTCTAGCTGGCTCACAAACAAGAAATTCAATTAAACTGCTCTGTCAAATGATGTAGTCCTCTTTATTTCAGTTTTTGACAAAATACCCAGAAAATTCAAAGCTCCTACGCTTTACAAAAATACGTTCTCTACAAATGTCCTCGCAGTCTGTCCGGCCTCAACGAAAACAGTGTAGTGTAGGATATCCAGCAGCAGCCTCCTTAACAATAAACCCAAACATTCTCTACATAGTGCTCCACCCATACAATAAAATTAACATAAATTAATCACAAGGTCTTAAATTAGCATTTGACAAATATACATGATTGTATTTCATCCACAACAAAGAGGCAGATCAAATTACAAACATAGCTGTTTTTCAAGTGCTGGCGACAAAAAGCCTGAATACAACATGTCGTACACAGATAAAAAATTCTTTTTGGTCCACATGGAAAGAGAGAGTCCCCACCAGAGAGAGAGAGAGAGAGAGAAACAGGAGCGCTCAGCACGAGAAAAGGCAACTAAGTTTCAAGCCAAGGTAACTTGTCAGCATCTATCTTCTCAAGCCAAAGTGCAACTGAGCATATGAAGAAGCACCTGGGAGAAAAGAAGACATAAATTACAGTTGTAAACCACTGTCATGTGTTAAGGAAACAGTAATTCACTTTTAGGGATGATGACATATTATAATGTGTCTTTCATGTTTATGTATGTGAGATAGTTCTTTAAAATGTGACCATACAACTCTGCTGTGGTGTTTATGGCCTCATAAGAAAATATATCTGGTGCACTGGGTTTTAATTGCTATTGACATGTTTGAGAATTGCACAAAATTGTTTGCTTGTAATGTAAGTTAGGGCTGAAACGACATGACCTGGACTCTATCAACTCCATGCACCTAAGATTATGCCCTGACCTTAGCTAGTTTAACCTAGTCATAGGTTATTTATTTTGTTTGCTGCAGATTTTTGGTTTTTCCTTGTGTCTAAATTTCACAAGAAGCCAAAAGTTTGCTGAGGAAAATGACTTTATTTATTAACTATTTTCAAAATGAGAAGTCTAGCTGAGGAAGTCAGGTTTCTCTAATCCCCTACCCTGATTAGGGAAACCAGGTTTCTCATCTATAATAACTAAAGTCTAGCTGAGGAAGTCAGGTTTCTCATCTATAATAACTGTATATAGTGTTAAAGAATTACAGAGATTACTGAGGAAACTTCACAGCAACCTAAAGTGCTGCAAACCCAGTGTGTGTGTTACCTGCTGTCACACTCCCTAGCCGCCTCTGCAGGGCCTCCAGTCTAGAGATGTAGTCAGTGAGCGCTCGGTCGGGGTCGTAATTCTGCAGGTGGGAACAGGTGAGAGCTCCGTGGTCTCCAGGCATGTGGAACCTACACAACACCAATTTACAACTGTAAATATTAACACTCTTTAAAGTAAATCTATGCCGGTAAAACTCCATATTTCTGGAGTTTTACTGATTAAATAAGATCAACTGATAATTTTTAACAGATGCCCTGTTGTACCTCTGTTGTGTGGAGGAGACGGCTGATCTGGGGGACTCACGCCCACTTCGCCCCCTGCTGCTGGAGATTCCTCCTCTTTCTCTGTATATTTCCACGCTGCCTGGGTGAAGATATGGGGAGTCTCTCACCTCTGTACCTGAGACAGATGAACAAAAATGAAGTGAGAATCACTTCTAAATAACATTCTCCAAGATCTAGAAACCATATGACCTGAACTGTTAGTCACCTAATGTCTGCCCTACTCCATTCTTGTTGATGTTGCAGGAGGCTGTGGAGCTCATCCCTGTCGCCTTGTGCCATCGCTTCACTAGGAAACGCATTCTGGATTAACAAAGAACAAAAACAAGTAGTATTAATGAAAACATAACAGCTATAATCTCTGTCCCTCCAATCCATCCCTCATAAAAACCAATAAATCTAGGGCTGCCCCTGTCTACCTGGAGAGGGCAATAGAGACTCGGACAGCAGAGCGGAAGCGTGTCAGCCCTCGGCGGCGCTGGCTCAGGGATTCCAGGCTGGACAGCGAGGGCCGGCCACCCATCCTGGAAAGCAGTGACAGCGTGGCTTCTTCACACTCCTGGAAGCCGCCCAGTAATAATAGCAGATACTTCTTCTGGTAGATGAGCGCTTTGCGGAAGCTTTCTGACCTCAGGTACCTCCCGTACATCCTCTGCAAGCCAAAGATAGAGAAGAAGGGAAAAGAAGTCAGAGGATAAGATTTTCTTGACAGCAGCCAGATGACATTTTATCTAAGCCGAGTTAGTTTTCCTTTTGCTGTTATTAACTGACCTTAAGCGCAGCATTGTCAGCCCCAGGTTCGACTATCTCTCTCAGGGTATCGGACCTGATCTCTCCCTTGAGTCGGACCACTTGGGACTGAGCCAGATGCAAGGCTTTCTCCAGGCGGATCTTCTCTTGGGTCCAAGCCTCCCTCTCCTGGGAAAGCAGCACACCTCAGAGGGAAACACCTCAGCTATTTCTTCGGAGAGACGTCCGGTTGACTTTTGAAATCGAGAAAAAGGTCGTTCGCACTTTACAAGATTATAGTCATTTTCATTTGTTGTTTATATGTGGCATAAAAAGTCATCAGAAATGGTCAGGCACAGAACAGCTGCTAGGGTAAAAGTTCTGGAAATGGTTCTGAGTTGCTGATGATTGATGTAGGTCAGGTATTTGAGAATCAGTCTTCACTCTTCTACTTACTGTTTTGTTCCAGGTGGAGGATCCGCTGGCCATCCTCATCCTGTTTGACGAGGCACGCCACTGCCTCCTCAAGGGCTTCTTTCCTGCTCCAGACAGCAAGCTGATCACATTGGCCAGCCTCCTCCTGCAGATCATCTACGGCAACTATGAGAGCAAGAAACATAAGCAAGGCTTCCTCAAGTAAAAAACCGTTTTCAAATTATATTTGTACTTAAATAATAGCACGTATGAGTGGAGTAGTGAGAATTTCTGCACCTCGCCAACGGAGCTGTTCACCCGCTCAAAGCTGCACCAGGGCTTTCTGCTCATTATCACTCAGCGCTCAACTCAGATTACATCCCGCTCCACTCCAAATGTACCAAATGATCAGCAAACTGCTCGGTGACACTGTCGGTACAATCAACGACAACCTGACCTCGACAGTGTTGGCAGCTACTGTCGTCACTCTCACCCTGGGATACATTTCTAAAATGCTGCTCAAACAGCCCCCTGACAAGGATCTGGTAAGTTTAACATCAAAATGCTGAAACGCATTGTTTGTACTCATTATTCACTGTTTACCTTCTTTTTTTCAGAAATATCCACCATACATTCCCTCCAGAATCCCCTTCCTGGGCCATGCCATTGCATTTGGGAGAAGTCCCATTGAATTTCTTGAAAATGCTTATGAGAAAGTGAGTATTACAGTATAACTGATTTGTCTGCAGCTACTGTATATTGATCAGAAATCAATCGTTGTCATCAAAAAATGCCGGACTTCTCTGTTCCAGCTCTTCAAATGCAAACACCAGTTGATTTTCTTAGTCTTCTGTGATACTAAAATAAATATCTATATGTTTTTTTAGTCCTTGGGAATTTTTTTTTTTTACAATATATAAGAGCTGCAATAATTAGTTGATAGAAAATTAATCACCAGCGTTTTTGATAATCAATTACTGTAGTCATATTTCAAGCAAAAATAACCCCCCTGCACGTGATGACTTTCTTTGCCATATATACTGGATTTTGGAAATGTAGTCAAATAAAAAAAAAGGCATTTTGAAAACATTATTGTTGGGTTTGGAAAATTATAGCAAGCATCTTTACAACTCTGACATTTCCTAAGAAAAATGATTGAGAACACTATCTGCAGATTAATCGATAATGAAAAATGCTACTTAGGAAAATCCTGGTCCATTAGTTTGAGCCAGCGTTACAGTTTGCATTTATGGAAAGATGCAGACATTTGGATGAATTTCTTAAAAAATGTTGTCTCAGTCTCATTTTCCCTCTCACACAAACAGTGAATCACATACACACACTTGACCTTTCTACCTTGTTCCCATTATTTTTTTTAAACAGTCCCCAGGTTACTAGAGTGATACAGGGGTGTCTGATGTTTGGAAAGGTGAAGTTTCCCAGTATTTCACAAAGAAAGACAAGAAAATGTGACAGTTGGATTATCTTGAAGATCCCCTTATTAATTTAGTCCAGACCCACAACTCTTATATGTCTTGCTGTCCTCTCACAGTACGGACCAGTGTTCAGTTTCACCATGGTGGGGAAAACGTTCACCTACCTGCTGGGCAGCGATGCAGCTGCGCTGCTGTTCAACAGCAAGAATGAAGACCTGAACGCTGAGGACGTGTACTCCAAACTGATGACTCCAGTGTGTGGCAAAGGAGTAATCTATGATGTGCCAAACCCTGTGAGTCTAGCAGAACGATCGGATCACATTTAATAACAAATCCACATTGGTACATAAGCCCTAAAGTGTAAAATCAGTGAAAGAGTAAAGATCCTACCAACCCAATAATTAACCAAAAAAACAAGTCACTGCATATTGCATGCTTTTGTTAAAATGTTTCAGGTCTTTCTGGAACAAAAGAAGATGATTAAGACTGGACTCAACATTGCACGTTTTAAGGAGCACGTCAAGATAATTGAGGCAGAGACTATAGAGTATTTTCAGAGATGGGGGGACAGCGGGGAGAGAAGTATGTCCATTTACACATCACTTTGTTTAAAACATCAATCATAGAAAATTAACAAATGACTTGTGATCAGACCTTTTCCACCTAGTTTTGGTTACTTTGACCAGATGCTTTGCAGAGTATTAACAGTAATAAAAGCACTGCTGTTCCCCTCATGTTATGATGTTGATGGGCAGCCTTATATTAAGTCTAAAAATGCATGATCCGTCCATTAGTGTCTGGTTTTGGTACTAACAGTTTTGTTATAGTTTCTTAACAACTGGTATAAAAACATGCATATGAAAAGTCAGGTATATGAAGCTGTACAACTGTCAGTCGGGTGGTTTTCGCTGAACTCAAGTTTTTGTTCTCGTCTGTGTCAGACCTGTTCGAAGCTCTGTCTGAGCTGATCATCCTGACAGCCAGCAGCTGCCTTCATGGGAAGGAGATCCGCAGCATACTGAACGAGCAAGTGGCCCAGCTGTACACCGACCTGGATGGAGGATTCAGCCACGCCGCCTGGCTCCTGCCCAGCTGGCTGCCCCTGCCCAGCTTCAGGTAGGACAAGGAGCTTAAGATAAACACGTGTGCAACAGGAAGACACTGGATTTTCTTTGATAAGAAAGAAAGAAATCTCTGAAAAGAAACTAGAGCGGTAAAATATTTCATGATCAGAGAAGTAAAAAACAGTATTGTGGGTGATGTTGAAATGACTGTAGAAATGCTGTAAAAATAATTTACTTCTTCCTTTGGTTAGGAAAAGGGACAAAGCTCACAGAGAGATCAAGAACATCTTCTTCAAGGCGATTCAGAAGCGCAGGAGCTCTGGAGAGAAAGTGGACGACATGCTGCAGACCCTCATTGATACCACATACAAGTAAGACAACTTCTGCCATTCAAGAAGTCACCCTGGTTCACTGATCACATATAAAATACAGTATTTATTGCATGCTGTAGTGACAGTGGTTGCTAAGATTGCTGTCAGAGAACCAACCAATAAGTCCGAACCCTTTACTAAACCATTTCTAAACTCCAAAGTGACTCTGTTCTCTCTCCAGGGATGGACGGGCCCTGGATGACAACGAGATTGTGGGGCTGCTGATTGGTCTCCTTCTGGCAGGCCAGCACACGTCCTCCACCACCAGCGCCTGGATGGGCTTCTTCCTGGCCAAAGACAAAGCTCTGCAGGAGCGCTGCTACGCTGAGCAGAGGGCTGTGTGCGGAGAAGACCTGCCTCCGCTCGACCTTGATCAGGTCTGAATACACAGTTTACCAGAGTGCAATGTGGATGTGCTGAAAAAAATGTAATATAAGCATAATAATCACTTTATAAAAAGTATATAGGGTGAACTGGGGTCAAGGGCCTATTTTATGATGCCCTTATAGTTACCATAGTTATCATATCATAGTTACCCAGTACATAAAGTTAAAAGAGAGACAACCCATTATAAACAGTCCTAACATTTCCCTGCTGGTGTCTCTAGCTGAAGGATCTCACTTTACTGGAGCGTTGTGTAAAGGAGACGCTGCGTCTCCACCCACCCATCATGACCATGATGAGGATGGCTCGCTCTCCTCAGGTAAGAACGCCTGGCTTAGGGTACATAGTACATATTCCCCACATTTATTCTAGTTACAAGACCTGCATCATGAACAGCTGTATTCTAGAAGTAGCTCGCCTCTAGTCTCCAACATCTGGACATCTGTGGTGCAGGTCACTAAAGTCAACTGTTGCTGTACATTTCCCTTCTCAGACTGCAGCAGGATACACCATCCCTGTGGGCCACCAGGTGTGCGTTTCACCAACTGTCAACCACCGTCTGCATGACACCTGGGTGGAGAGGATGAAGTTTAACCCCGACCGCTACACCGATGACAGCCCTGCTGCAGGGGAGAAGTTTTCCTATATACCGTTTGGAGCAGGTAAGAAGAGTAACTTCTAAACTGAATGAAAAATTATTTCCCTTCTAGGCAAAAAAAAAAAAAAGGTTTTCTTATCTTTAACATAATTACTTCCAGTCATGTTACTCTTTTGTCCTTGTTTCAGGTCGTCATCGCTGCATCGGGGAGAACTTTGCTTATGTTCAGATCAAAACCATTTGGTCTACTTTACTACGCATGTATGACTTCGACCTGGTGGATGGATATTTTCCCACAGTCAACTACACCACACTGGTCCACACCCCTCACAACCCCGTCATCAGATACAAGAGGAGAAAGCAGGGAGAGGCTAAAGGACGACAGTGAAGAGCAAGGAGCAAAAAGATGAGGACACAGTGAATCTGTAACTTCCTGGGATTCAGATTTAGGAAAAGTTCAGTGAATGCACTTTGCTCTAATGGTCACAGTTATAAAATTAACATAAATTAATCACAAGGTCTTAAATTAGCATTTGACAAATATACATGATTGTATTTCATCCACAACAAAGAGGCAGATCAAATTACAAACATAGCTGTTTTTCAAGTGCTGGCGACAAAAAGCCTGAATACAACATGTCGTACACAGATAAAAAATTCTTTTTGGTCCACATGGAAAGAGAGAGTCCCCACCAGAGAGAGAGAGAGAGAGAACAGGAGCGCTCAGCACGAGAAAAGGCAACTAAGTTTCAAGCCAAGGTAACTTGTCAGCATCTATCTTCTCAAGCCAAAGTGCAACTGAGCATATGAAGAAGCACCTGGGAGAAAAGAAGACATAAATTACAGTTGTAAACCACTGTCATGTGTTAAGGAAACAGTAATTCACTTTTAGGGATGATGACATATTATAATGTGTCTTTCATGTTTATGTATGTGAGATAGTTCTTTAAAATGTGACCATACAACTCTGCTGTGGTGTTTATGGCCTCATAAGAAAATATATCTGGTGCACTGGGTTTTAATTGCTATTGACATGTTTGAGAATTGCACAAAATTGTTTGCTTGTAATGTAAGTTAGGGCTGAAACGACATGACCTGGACTCTATCAACTCCATGCACCTAAGATTATGCCCTGACCTTAGCTAGTTTAACCTAGTCATAGGTTATTTATTTTGTTTGCTGCAGATTTTTGGTTTTTCCTTGTGTCTAAATTTCACAAGAAGCCAAAAGTTTGCTGAGGAAAATGACTTTATTTATTAACTATTTTCAAAATGAGAAGTCTAGCTGAGGAAGTCAGGTTTCTCTAATCCCCTACCCTGATTAGGGAAACCAGGTTTCTCATCTATAATAACTATATATAGTGTTAAAGAATTACAGAGATTACTGAGGAAACTTCACAGCAACCTAAAGTGCTGCAAACCCAGTGTGTGTGTTACCTGCTGTCACACTCCCTAGCCGCCTCTGCAGGGCCTCCAGTCTAGAGATGTAGTCAGTGAGCGCTCGGTCGGGGTCGTAATTCTGCAGGTGGGAACAGGTGAGAGCTCCGTGGTCTCCAGGCATGTGGAACCTACACAACACCAATTTACAACTGTAAATATTAACACTCTTTAAAGTAAATCTATGCCGGTAAAACTCCATATTTCTGGAGTTTTACTGATTAAATAAGATCAACTGATAATTTTTAACAGATGCCCTGTTGTACCTCTGTTGTGTGGAGGAGACGGCTGATCTGGGGGACTCACGCCCACTTCGCCCCCTGCTGCTGGAGATTCCTCCTCTTTCTCTGTATATTTCCACGCTGCCTGGGTGAAGATATGGGGAGTCTCTCACCTCTGTACCTGAGACAGATGAACAAAAATGAAGTGAGAATCACTTCTAAATAACATTCTCCAAGATCTAGAAACCATATGACCTGAACTGTTAGTCACCTAATGTCTGCCCTACTCCATTCTTGTTGATGTTGCAGGAGGCTGTGGAGCTCATCCCTGTCGCCTTGTGCCATCGCTTCACTAGGAAACGCATTCTGGATTAACAAAGAACAAAAACAAGTAGTATTAATGAAAACATAACAGCTATAATCTCTGTCCCTCCAATCCATCCCTCATAAAAACCAATAAATCTAGGGCTGCCCCTGCCTACCTGGAGAGGGCGATAGAGACTCGGACAGCAGAGCGGAAGCGTGTCAGCCCTCGGCGGCGCTGGCTCAGGGATTCCAGGCTGGACAGCGAGGGCCGGCCACCCATCCTGGAAAGCAGTGACAGCGTGGCTTCTTCACACTCCTGGAAGCCGCCCAGTAATAATAGCAGATACTTCTTCTGGTAGATGAGCGCTTTGCGGAAGCTTTCTGACCTCAGGTACTTCCCGTACATCCTCTGTTTTTTGCGGAAGCTTTCTGACCTCAGGTACCTCCCGTACATCCTCTGCAAGCCAAAGATAGAGAAGAAGGGAAAAGAAGTCAGAGGATAAGATTTTCTTGACAGCAGCCAGATGACATTTTATCTAAGCCGAGTTAGTTTTCCTTTTGCTGTTATTAACTGACCTTAAGCGCAGCATTGTCAGCCCCAGGTTCGACTATCTCTCTCAGGGTATCGGACCTGATCTCTCCCTTGAGTCGGACCACTTGGGACTGAGCCAGATGCAAGGCTTTCTCCAGGCGGATCTTCTCTTGGGTCCAAGCCTCCCTCTCCTGGGAAAGCAGCACACCTCAGAGGGAAACACCTCAGCTATTTCTTCGGAGAGACGTCCGGTTGACTTTTGAAATCGAGAAAAAGGTCAGCGGAAGCGTGTCAGCCCTCGGCGGCGCTGGCTCAGGGATTCCAGGCTGGACAGCGAGGGCCGGCCACCCATCCTGGAAAGCAGTGACAGCGTGGCTTCTTCACACTCCTGGAAGCCGCCCAGTAATAATAGCAGATACTTCTTCTGGTAGATGAGCGCTTTGCGGAAGCTTTCTGACCTCAGGTACTTCCCGTACATCCTCTGTTTGCCAAAGATAGAGAAGAAGGGAAAAGAAGTCAGAGGATAAGATTTTCTTGACAGCAGCCAGATGACATTTTATCTAAGCCGAGTTAGTTTTCCTTTTGCTGTTATTAACTGACCTTAAGCGCAGCATTGTCAGCCCCAGGTTCGACTATCTCTCTCAGGGTATCGGACCTGATCTCTCCCTTGAGTCGGACCACTTGGGACTGAGCCAGATGCAAGGCTTTCTCCAGGCGGATCTTCTCTCGGGTCCAAGCCTCCCTCTCCTGGGAAAGCAGCACACCTGCCTGATCCACGTTTGACAGTCCTCTCCTGCCACTGGACTGCAGGAAGAAATGAAACAATGTGATTTTATTTTTAATTAATATACAGGGTAGCATTCATTTGAATGGCACAGCAAAAATGTAAATGTCTAAAAATGCTGTAATCCTTTTCTTTGTGGCAGTCACGTCTATTATATGCAATTTGTTGCATCATTTACATGAAGGAGACAAATATGTCCACAGTAAAGAAAGATCCTGGATTACTACAGACGTTTAACTTTGATTATCACAACATCCAATTTCCCACTCACACTGCAGAACTCTAAGCTCCTGATCTCGGAACTGGTTTTTGTTCCTATCAGAATGTTTTTCTGTCATTTACTCACGCTGTCTCCTGATCCCAGACCAGCCTGCCGATAACGTCGGAGCTCTTCTTCTAAGCGGAGCACATGGTTCCTCAGATCGTTCTTCTCTTCTGTCAGACGGCTGACAAAACCTGTGAGCTCGGCGTTCTGCCTCAGCAGCCGCTCCGTCAGGGAGCTGGAGGAGCCTCCTGCCAGCAGGGATGCACACTGAGGGAAACACAGAGATCGACAGGTGTCAAAAAACTGGAAAAATCAATCATTTAAGTTCATCAATACAGTGAACATTTTTCTTTGACCAAAAATAATTTTGCGTGCACCTTAATATTTATTTTATTTTATTTTTTTGCAAGAATTTATTCATCCAGAAAATCCAAAAATATATTTAGTGTGTAGAAGCAACAACATCAAAAGCTAAAGAGGTACAAAAAAACAAAAACTACTGACTTCTGGGGTGGAGGGTAGACCAGGGGCTTGCTGCACCATAGTAATGACTTCATCAACACTGGACTGCACCCAGGACAACTCTCCACTGTCGACCTCAGCAGTCAGCCTGTACAGAGCACATTTTCCATATTAGATAAGCCCTGTATGCCATTTGCACATTTATAGATGTTGCTAGTTTATGCAACATATAAAAATAAACAGTTTTTTCTATAAAGCAGCTTTAATAAGCTATCATCTAAGTTAATGTTGGACCTGCAGTAGGTTCATTTTTGGCCACTTGATGGGAGCAGAAATAATGTGTCAACACAGAAATGATATATTAAACGTGGTCTAAGCTAATGTGGTCTGAGTGAACCTCAACAGAGCCAAAACAACAAGCTGAAAGATGCTAAAAGGCTGTATAGACTTGGGGGAGCTGCAGAGTTAGGAAACAGTTTTCTGTGGGTTTGTCATGACAGGCAACCCCTTTCACATTAAACCATTTCATCCACTGATAATATAAAGATACTGATTGCAGCTGCTTTAATTACCTGCCAGCAGTCTTGTTTGCCATGCTGCGAACCTTTGAGGAAATAAGTTGGAGCTTTCCCACAATCCTGTCGACCATGGGCCAGGGAACATGATGTGGTCCACTGGCGTGACCTGCTGGAGTGACCTCCTGGGGAGATGTGATAGAGCTGGCAGACTGAACATTTCCATGCTTCTGCTGGAAAACCCAGTCTTTAGTGCGATCTGAGGAGTCACTGTGCCAGGCAGCCTGCAGCTTAAACAGATGAGCTAGACTTAATGCTAAAACGGTGTTATGAAACTAGATAAAAACGGACTGCTCAGTATAAAACAGTTACAACAAAGTGAGTGAAAATTACTGGAGTGTGAACTGATAGCTGATACTCACACTGTGGCTGTCAGCCTGCTGAGGTTCAGTCCCCCTCTCCCCTCTTTTCTCTCCTAACTGATTTAACATTTCCTCCAGCCTCTCCTTCTCTTCTTCTAAGCTTCTCCTCCTCTGTAGCTCTCTCTCCAGCTGCTCTTGGGCCTCACACATTTGTGCCTCCAGGTTCTCCAGCTGAGCCTGAGCTTTCAGCAGCGCCTCCTTGTCCTGTCTCGACCTCTGACTTGCTAAAGTCAGCTCCTCCTCTTTTCTCACCACCTCGAGCCTCTGGGCCTCCATCTGACTGAGGAGATGCACCACCTGCAGAAGAAAGATAAAAAAAAAGTAGTCAGCCTGTGAGCACTCATGGGGTCAAAGACTTGTTTTAAAGTTTTACAAAGAGCCATCATTAACGAATTCATGATACAAGATAAATGCCTAATGTTGACAATGAAGCAAACAACACGTTTGTTGTCTTCTATCCTGTACAGTCAATAAAATACAGAGAACTACAAATATCCCACCTGTGTGTGCTTGTCATCCAGCTCCCTATGGAGTCTTTCCAGCATACTCTC